GTCCCAGAAACCCGTCGTAAGCTCAGAGGTGACAGGGCTTTCTCTGTTGCAGGTCCACGACTGTGGAATGAGTTGCCACTGAGTGTCCGGCAGGCTCCCACACTCTCAGTCTTTAAGTCTTGCTTGAAGACCCACTTCTATTCGCTTGCCTTTAACACGGTGTGATTTGTTTTGGTCCGGTCTGTTCTTTACTCTGTTGGCCATTTTAGTTAGCTTCTGCTGCTATTTGTATCTGTATTTCTATTTTATGTTTTCCTGTTTGCTGTGCATGTTTGTGTTTCTTTTGTACAGCACTTTGGTTGGCCTTGTTGCTGTTTTAAGTGCTATATAAATAAATTGGTATGGTATGGTATGGTAGGTCTGTCTCCTTCTGATGTCGTCTCTGGTTCAGGAGTGGCTGGACTCAATGAATGAGACATTTGGAGCTCATGTCTTGGGTCCATCTGTGCATGAGTTTCCAACATGGAACTTTTATCACAATATTCTAATTTTTTTGAGTCATTTTAATTTTTTTCATTATTTGTAAACCATAATCATCAAAATTAAAAATAAATAAAGGCTTGAAATATTTCACTCTGTGTAATGACTATACGATACGCGTTTTATTTTCTGTAGTGTTTGACAAAAAAAAAAGGTAATTTTTTCAAATTATTCTAATTTTCTTGAGCTGTACCTGTATGCAGCCTCTCCCATCCCACCTGCTGAAACGTGGAACTCCTTCAGGGTGGTCACAGGAGCCTCGGTGGTTTCTCAATATTCTCCTTTCTGCACGGTCACTTAGTTATAAGGATTAAGGATGACCCGCTCTGTAGATTTACACATGTTCCATAGTCCTTCCAGTTCTTAAGGATGGATTTAATTGAACTCTTGTGGATGTTTAGGGCCTTGGAAATCCCTTGGTATCTCCTGACTTGTACTTTTATATCATCTTTTCTCTGATCTGAATTAGGACAATTTAAACAGGGTGATGAAATTATTCAATAACTTAATGCACATTATGTAATTTTATTTAACGGGTATTGCTCAGTAGAGATTTAACTTCACTTTGTCCCCCCAACTATTTTAGTTTACTAGTTTTTATTTTTATTTTTAATAATTGTATTATTTATGTATTAAGTTTCTTCTTTCTGTGTTTGTAGATCCGGTTCAGATTGCCTCTGTTCTGCTGAAGATAAAAGACGGTCTGGTGAAAACAGGACTGAGAGCGCGGAGCCATGTGCTGCTGGGACCCTTCTCCTGCTGCAGCTCCCTGGAAGCTCGCTGGTGCAGACACAGCGGAAGTCCTGGACCTGAGCCTGGACCTCCTAAACTGCTGTTTGACCTAAAGGGAGGTCTGCTGCAGGTTTGTGTACCCATGACATTAGTTCAGCTCTCTGCTGGTTAAGGTTAGGTCAGCACCTCTGCACCTGGTTAGAAGTGAGAGTGACTTGGAGTCGTGCTCCTAGACACTTCATAAATGCTTCTGTAAGGTACTTGTAGTTGAAAAACAGTCCGTTACTCAGTGATACCACTGCCTACCAAGACATTAACTTGCAGTGTTGGCAAAACACTTTTATTTTGTGTCTTTACAACGTGGGATTTGATTGGATTTATAATTTGATAAAATAAAATAAATAAATAATAATTCTACAAAAATATTCCAGCTTAATCAAGTTAAATAAAAAAAACAATTGTTTTAAATAAAGCCCCGCAATAAGTGAAAAACCTCAAAGTACACATAGTAAGTAGTAATTTATTTTTGTTTTTACATATACGCTGCCTGGCCCCCCCAAAAAGGTCACACACTAATATTTTGTTGGACCGCCTTTAGCTATGATTACGACATGCATTCACTGTGACATTGTTTCAATAAACTTCTGTAATGTCACAAGATCTATTTCCATCCAGTGTTGCATTAATTTTTCACCAAGATCTTTCATTGATGACTAGACACTAGGCATGATGTGTGCATCACTTCACCTGCCTCTCTTCTTACCCTGATGCACCCATCAATCTGGAACAGGGTAAATCTGGACTCATCAGACCACATGACCTTCTTCCATTGCTCCAGAGTCCAATCTTTATGCTCCCTAGCAAATTGAAGCCTTTTCCCCCGGTTAGCCTCACTGGTTAGTGGTTTTCTTCAGGCTACACAGCTGTTCAGTCCCAATCCTTTGAGTTCCCTTCACATTGTGTGTGTGGAAATGTTCTTACTTTCACTATTAAGCATAGACCTGAGTGCTACTGTTGATTTTCTTCCATTTGATTTCACCAAACGTTTAAGTGATCGCCGATCACAGTCATTCAGGATTTTTTCCCGGCCACATTTCTTCCTCCAAGACGATGGGTCCCCACTATCCTTCCAGTATTTAATAATGCATTGGACAGTTCTTAACCCAATTTTATTAGTTTCTACAATCTCCTTAGATGTTTTCTCTGCTTGATTCCAATGATTTGACCCTTCTCAAACAGATTGACATATTTTCCACGACCACGTGATGCGTCTTTGGACATGGTTGTTTAAGAAATGAGAAGCAACTCATTGCACCAGTTGGGGTTAAATAACTTGCTGCCAGCTGAAAGATAATCGTCACATGCAGTAATTATCCAATAGAAGGCTCGTACCTGTTTGATTAGTTGAATCCTGGTGGCAACTTTTTTTTGGGCCAGGCAGTGTACAATCCACTTGTCTGAGGTAATCTGAGTTTGTCAAATGATACTCCACTGTTGCAACACATGTATGTAGTAAGAGCTACCATCAAGCAGGATACATCAAGAAGGCCAAGGAACATTCACACAGCTCAGAAACAAAGTTGCTGAGAAGTACAGATCAGGATCACATTATAAAAATAAATATTAAAAAAATCCCAAACTCTGAACATTCTGCAGAGCTTAATTAAATCCATTATTGGTAATTGTAAAGATTATACCTTCACAGTAAACCTGCTCATAGAAGGTCATCCACCAAAAGCCACAGACCGGGTAAGGAAGACATCAATCAGAGAAACGTCAGGGAGGCCAAGTTAACCCTGGTGGAGCTGCAGCTCTTCAGCAGAGATGGGAGGATCTGTCCGTTGGACCTCTATAAGCTGCTCAGAGCTGGGCTGCACTGAAGAGAGGCACAGAAAAGAGTTTAATGAAAAACAAATACAACTTTCTGGAATTGCTTTTGCAAACGTGTGGGAGAAGGAGCTGTGTTCAGATAAAAACAAGCATCAACTTCACCATGACTGCTTCACCTGAAGCAACCTCTCATAACGCTGAGAGCACCACCTCCACAGTGAGTTATGCTGATGACAGTGTCATGTTGTGGAGCAGTTTTTCATCAGCAGGGACTAGAAAACTGGACAGAGTTAAAGAAAGATGGAGAAAATACAGATACATTATTGAGAGGAACTTTACATCTTCCAGAGATCTGAGACTGGGACAGATATCCACCTTTCAGCAGGAAAATGACCCAAACACTGCTGAAGCACTCCACTGGTTGAAGGAGAAGCACTTAAACGTCCTGGAGTGGTCCTGACCTCATTCCATCTGAGAATATCATTTAAAAATGTTGGACCCATGCAGCACTCAGTCAGCCCAAAGGATTTGTAGCACTCTGTTTATGAACACATGGGCAGAATTTCCAGTGGTTCGCTGGATCAGGCTCATGAAGACGTAACAGGAGAGTCTTGATGCTGTGACTGTTTCAAAAGGTGGACTGACAGTGTTCGTTGGGGGTAATGAATTAAGAATTACTCACAAAGTTATTTTTATTTTTTATTTTTTTTTTGAGGGGGAAGGTTTATTTAATCTTTTGTTCCCATTAAATTTGTGTTTTAGTATATATATGTTAAACAAATTAAAAGTGTGAATTAATTCCACGTTGTAAAACAACAATATAAAAAGTTACCAAGCGAGGTGAATGTTCCCACAAGCTCATCTCACCACTCTGTCTTCTTAAATCTGCTGCCCCTCTTTAATGCTTCATTGGCTCGTGTTCTCTTTAAAGTAACACAAGTAAACTCTTTATGTTATAGTTTTACTGCAGTTCTGAGTCACATGTGCTGTGTAAGTGGTGGAATATTATGTATCTATTTATAGTGGAATAAAATCGTCTCTATGCCTTTTTAACCTGTACCAAGTTATATAATATTGAAGCTAAAAGTCCCTTTTTAATGTGACTAACAGCACACACTGTTTGTAATTCAACATTCCACATTTTTTTCTAGGGGGAACCCCCTGGCTTATGTTTAGTGGTTTCCCTAATGCTTTTATTGCGTGTGCATTAACAGAAAAATCACTTGCAACTCAACACTTAATATGTAATCGTACATTTCCTTCTGCAAATATTGGCGTCTGTGGTGTTTTAATCAATTGCTTTACCAAAACCATCGGAATTTCTTCCGATTTCTTTCTTTCAGTGCGTCTTTCCAAAACCTTAGAGGGAAAAAATCCCTGAATTTTCCTCGTTTAGAGTTTAGTCATACCCACTTGTACAGAGTAGTAAGTGACAGGCGAGCAGGCGGGCAGCTCCATGTGTGAAGAGTTTTTGACTCAGAGGTTCCTAGTCCTCAGTCCAAACCCCAGGCTGCTGACGGTGATGGAGCATGGGGGGGGGGCATGTCTTAAAGACAACATCAGGCTGTGTTGTGTAATTTTTGTAAGGTTGTGAGTGGGTGATGACGAGGATAGCCCTGCCTGCTTCACTTACTCTAGCAGATGCAGTGTTTATAAAAACAGTAAGCCTTGTGTTATTGTGTAGCTAAGTTTCTTTTTGCCCCTACATACTAAATCATATTTTTCTTATAAATCTTATGTAAACTGATCAGTTGTCATTCTTTTCTCATTGTTCTGCTCTCACTTGTTTTTTTACAACAGTTATTTTGGGGCCAGGAACATTTGAACTGCCTGACGTTGGTGGAAGAGCATCTCCGAGCCTATTTCCACCTTCAGAAAGAGACTTCAGCAGATAGTTCTAAGGGAAAGGCCTGCCACACCCAGCCTCCACCCTCTCCCATCTCCCCCTCTCTTCGGACGGAGCACACCTCTGATGACTTGCGCACAGGAAGTTTTCAATACATTCAGGATGCAGGTGAATGCACAAAATGTCAATGACCTGTTGAACATAGCTTCATGACTGCTCTTCTCAGAACAGCACCTCGATGGATGTGCTGAAGTTTTCAGAGGTAAAATAGTTCATACATGGGTATAGATTTCCTCTTACATGATTATTTAGAGGTACATACATCAAATCAACATTAGCCACAGTTACCTAATTACTGTTATATATTATACAATTAAACAGCAAAGAAGAGGCTTTTGAGCAACATTAAATGTCACTTAAGATGCACACTGGCATAAAACAAAGTTAGATCAAAGCCCTCTGTGAAAAGGAGTTTAATCGGGCATGTCTGCATGTTTCCACTCTGAGTAACTCGGTGTTTATTCCTCGTCTTTGTGCTTTGTGTGCTCACAGTCAGACACTCACAGCAACATACACAGAGGATCAAACTTCTCTCTGGCTGTAGACCAGCCGTCCATTCTGTCAGCTGTGGTTGAGTCTTTGTTTGTTGCACTCTTCCACCGGTCTTTGATGCATTTAATGTTCTGGCTGAAGCTGAAGAACATACAGTGGTGAAGTGGAACCAAGAGGACAGTCTGTCTGCAACATGTTGGGCGAAGAGTCTGGGGCCCTGAGTACTGGGACCTGCTATGACCTCCCCATGGCATGACACAGGGCCAGATGGGATAGATCAGTAAAAGTCCAAAGGTTATAAAATGACAACATTTGATGAGAGTGCCTGTTTATTGTTTTTATTATTTGTTTGCTTGTTGGAAGCACAGTCTGTTCTAGTGACAGACAGTGTTTGCACTGTAAGACGGGTCGACAAAGCTGAGGTTACTCGTTTGACTTTGTTTCTTTTTTTTAATAAACATGAATCCTAAGCAGCAGCTACAGTATGATGCAAGTCATTGCATCTTAGTGATGGATCTGTGGCGTTTAGATCCTGTTCTCCAGCTGTTGCAGGTGCTTGGCATGGTTTAATGAAAGCAGGTTCAGACAAACAAAATTGTTTACTAAGACACTTTGTTTATTCAGTTTCTGACACATGAGGAAATACAGAAAAAGTGTGTCCAGATTTCTTCTTTCTGTTTTTATAGAACAGTGTATTGGGCTTGAGCCACACTTTATTTTTATGCATTTTTCAAGGCAAATGTGACGTATAGAGTAATTTATTGAAACATATACAAACCTTAATGAAAATGCTGTAAAGCAGTGTACCCCAGTTACCGGGCCATGGACCGGTACCGGGCCGTGGGTCAATTTATAACGGGCCGCACAGGGAGGAAAAAAATAAACTTTTGAAAAATCACCGGATTATGTCCACCATATCTGTCAATAACTCACTCTTTACGCAGGTCAACATACACAAGTGGTAAGTTTCAGTTTCTGTGAGACGCATGCGCAGACTGGTTCTACATTGCCCGTTCAGGTGGAGTAATTTAGCTGCATGGTCTGGAGCAGACAGGAGGAGGTGCACAGCCGTGTCTGCGCATTTGAAGGATCACTGCATATTTTTCAACCCGCCTGACAAAGAGTGACTGTAAAACTATTAACTAAATAAAACTATAATTTTAAACAAAGCTTCCTAATATCAAATCAGAGCTGGTTTTGGTTTGAACATTTTTAACTTCACATCAGAGCTGGTCCTTCGCATTTCTGTTTCTGCTCTTAAAAAAATCTCCGCCCCTAAAAGTTCAAAGTCATGGGCAATTTTATTAAAAAACACAAATATAATTAAAGTTTTGCACTGTGCATAAGTTCCTGTGCCTTTGTGAACAATCTGATGTGTGAATCCCTGCGGAGCAGGGAGGAGGATGAGGAGGCTCAGCTGACCCCGGTGTGGGATCTACTAATGAAATGAGAAATGATCCTGCACTTAATACACTTATAAATCACACATAAAGTGATTAAAAGTACATTTGAAATACAGATGCTGTCATTAAATTAGAATGTTGTGAAAAAGTTGATTTATTTCAGTAATTCCATTCAAAGAGTGAAACTTGTATTCGTTACACACAGACTGATATATTTCAAATGTTTGTTTCTTTTAATGTTGATGTTCATAACTGACAATTAAACAACTGACAAATCAGCAAATTCAGTTTGTCCTGAAGAGCTGCAGCAGTTTTGCAGTCAAATTCTCTGAGTTAGAACTCTCAGACTGCCCCCCCACCCCCGGTCTGTGAAAATATAGTCTGACATTAAACGTGACGCAATAAAGGTTGGGGACCACTGCTGTAAAGCACACGATAACATAGTTTACACATTTTAATAAGCTTGAAAAGCTTGTTATTTTGACCATCTTTACTTTATCACATAGTCAGGACTACATTAAGGTAAGACAATTTTGAGTTAAAATAGTTTTCAGGAGTAGCCTTGACCTTTTTAAACATTTCATATAACTTTTAAAATCCTTTTTATGTTTGTTTGTTTGTTGAGGGGTTGTATGGTCTATCAACAATATGTCATTTTCCAGTAATTTGAGGATCTGTGTGTGCGTGGATGGGGGTGGGGGGTGGGGGGTCTGTGTCTGTTCAGGTCTACTTTGACTGAATTGGCAGTGTATTTAAGATCACTGGTGGCGTAAAAAACAATAAAAAACACAAAGTTGTTTCTAAAGGATATATTTCCAGATGGCACTTAATATTGAGTTTTATCAATTTAAAAAATCACCCAACATCCCTGGGTGAAATGCAGCCCCACATTGTGAGACGGGCTCCATTCTTTATTTCCTTCCATCCATCCATTATCTTTTACCTGCTTCTTCCATTTTGGGTCATGGGAGTTGCCAGTGCCCAGGTCCAGCCATCACTGTGCGAGGGGCGGGGTACACCCTGGACAGGTCGCAAGTCTATCACAGGGCCACACAGAGACAAACAACCATTCACTCTCTCACTTAGAGTTACCACTCAATCTAACATGCATGTTTTTGATCTGTGGGAGGAAACTGGTGTACAGTAGTCCCTCATTTATTCCGGGGGATCCAAAACCTGAAGACCTGTGGTAATTGTACTACTATTCCTACT